AAAATAAATGCGATTTTGATTTCGACTTTGGATTTCATTCATTTTTAATTTGCCAAATACATTTTTATTTTGTTTTTAATTTGAATAAATGTTGTCTTTCTTGTCTTTTTGTTTGTTTTTTATTTTCGATATATTTTGACCCACTTCCGCTTACTCAAAAATGCTAGATATGACAATGCGGTGAACTTGTAAATATTCCAAGTTCTTATTAAAGACTTTTATTATACTTTTATGGTGGGCTTTATTTATGCTGCAGTTGACGAAGGGAACATCTGTAAACTAACGAAATACATGAATATGTATTAGTTCATGACCAAGTATGAATATAGTTTATTGATTTTTGTATATTTAACTTTTATATATATTGAGATCTTTTATATAAAATTGTGTTTGACCTCAACATTTTGATATATGTTTATTACTGTGGATACCTTCAGCTTCATTCATAGTACTTCAAGTGCGAGAGCAATCTGATATTATGTGAAGTCAATCTTTTAAATATTAATGTTTGTTATGCCTCCGGTGGGCGTGGCATATAGGAAATATCAGGTGATCATCATAAATGTAGCTGCTCCTGTACTAGAATTGAGTTCGTATTATCTACTACTGTGTACTTCTTAATTCTTAGAATCTAGATATAAGTGAATCAATATGTTTTGTGTACACGCACACATACACATCTACTTACATACTACACTGACACACACACACTTATGAACATCAAGTCACATGCGTAGCCCTCTTTAGCTGGTCCGTATCCGCATTGATCTTTGAAGAAAAATGGTTTTTTGCAGCTTGCGTGCTGCTTGTGCCTCGTGTTAAGCTGTTGCAGTAGCGCTGCTGTGGCTACTGTAGCTGACATGTCGATAGGGATCAATGTTTAGCTGGTCTCACTTTTTCAGCATCATGTTTCCCCCTCACTCTCGACAGTGCGTATTCTATCTCGGTGTCTCCCTCTGGCACAGGTTGCCATGATTTGGGGCGTTGCCTGGCAGCAGCTCAGGAGCTGCTGTGCCACTTACACTGGCCACGCGTATGAGTCACTTATATAACGTTTTATTATGTGTTTAAATATCGTATATACATATGTATATAAACAGATAATCCGCATATGGCTTACTTGTTCTTTCTTTCTTTTGGGTGGCTCGAAGAGTGCTTTGACTTTTGCTTGTCAATGCGCGACGTCTTTGATAACTAATTGCTGCGGCGCCAAATGTTTCTCCACTGTCTCGATGCAGTTCGCTCGCTCCCTCTCTCTCTCTCTCTTGTTTGCAGACCCTCCCTCTACCCCCTCTTTCTCCTGCTTCGTCACTGTGTTGTCTCGTGCGTATAATAAAAGTCACGTCGTTACCGTTTGGTCGCTTATAAGGGTCATTCGGCGACTCTCTCTGCATGTGTGTGTGTGTGTGTGGGGGCTCAGCTATAAAGTTAAGTGTGTGTAAAGGTGTGTGTAATGACTTCAACAGAAAAATTTGTAGCACTCGCCAATGAGCTGGGCTGGAAGCCCTATAGCAGCGTGTCACATGCAACACACAAATGCAAAAGTGAGCAATTATGGCAACAAGTTAATTACGCATACAGTAGCAACAACAACAACAAACATGAGCAGCAGGAGCAGTCACAGATGGACAAGCTCCACATGGGCTGCATAGGACCCCGAGGAATTGGCCGCAGTTGCAGCTGCAGCGCCAATTTCAGCGTTAATTTAATTTATGCAGGCGGACAAACCAACAAACAACTTCAGCAACAACAACAACTGCATAATTTCAATCGACAAAAAAAGAGAAACAACAACAGCAACAACTTTTAGGAAAGGCATTTTACATTTTACATAAAGCTTTTTGGTGGAACGCACGTTGAAAGTGTGCCAGGTCGCATAAGGGGCAGGCGTAGCGGTACAAGCTGCATGCCACAGCATCAACATTCAATACATGTAACGCATGTGTCATTGATTTGCGAGTGTTCACTGTCAATGATAAATAGCTTTTACTTCGATATCTCTATTGAATGTGCACAGAAAACATTAACGAAACTTTATTATTTGAATAACATTTTTCAGTTTAATTAAACTTTATTTCTAGGCCGCTAAAAAAGACAATAATATGTAAATCTACATTCCTTGAACTAACAAATATATTAACTTCAACTTAACTAATATATTAACATATAAAGCTCTCCAGAGCTCAGTAATTCTTTCCTTTCTTGACTTCAAACTTCGAAAACATTGTTAAATTTATTTTCCTGATGACATTTGATTTCTCATATGACTCAACTTGTTATTGATTCTTTCTCAAAGAACTCAGAATCCATGAAGGGGAGAGCGAGACGCGTATAACATATAGGACAACTAAAATAGATTCATATATAGAGTGGGTCAGCAAGAGCTGTCTAAATTTAGTTAAATATGTTTTTGGAAACAATAAATTGACAACTTTGCCGAAGCGTGAATAACAAATAAATGCAGCTTGGCAGCTGGTTTTGTTGTGCTTAAGCTTAACTTATGTTTCGTTTGCCCAGTTCGTTGCCTAAGTCTTTTGTTTGGAGTGATTGAATTTATTAAATTAACTTAATGTCGTTCCTCACAATCGCCGACGATGACGATGATGATGTGTATCGCTATGGAAAGTATTTATGTTAGGCAATCTATTAGATAAGCGCACAGCCACGAATATTCATAAGGCATTTATGTATTAATAGCAAATAAAAAACTTTTAAATTTCCGTTTCGTTTGGCAGTCTCAAGCTACTTGTGAATTCTTGCAATATAATTAAATTCTGCATGTGAGCATTTCTTATAGCATTTTTTGCTTTTGTAATTTTCTCTGCGCTCATTTTTTTTTACTTTTTCATCAGCTTTTCCATTTTGTTGGGGTAAAAAAAATTGTTCAATTTTGCAAAGTTTAATCAAAGTGGCGCTAATTAGTTTGAGTCGTTTGGATAATTGCAAATTAAACGCAAAGTTAATTGCGCCGACACACGAAACACACACATACACACAGACAGACATGCAATTACGTATGCAGCAGCAACATTTGGTTTACAAAAAAAAAAGCAGCAGCCGTTGCCGTCGTCAATTCGCGTATCTTAAAGCTGTAGTGGCTTGAATTGCTATTGTTGTATTTAGCTGTTGTTGTTGGCGTTGTAGAGCAGTGCTCATTGCTCATGAAAAACAATTAAGTTGTGTTGAAGTTAAATTGAATTAAAAAGCGTTTTTTATCGAATGTTTGTGCAAATGAAATGCAGCCACAAATAGAGATGTTAACCGGGGTTAGGCCCCCCGCTGCATAGAAGAAGCAGAGGAACAAAAAGAATAACAATTTAAAAATATAAATAAGCAAGTTAAGCATAAATAAAAAAATACATTAACAACAAGCACGCTTTTGTTTACAAAAGCTAATCACTAGCTGGATAGATAAATAGAGAGAGAGAGAGAGAGGGAAGAGTCGATGGGAGGCCATATGATTTGATCGTAATTAAAATGCAGTCTTTTAATGTCAGCGTTAATTAGTCGCTTTAATTAATGATTATTAATATCGGTTGTTGCCCGATATTTTGTATCACATTTCTCAGCCTCTGGCTGTATATAGCTCTCTGCTGTCGCCCTGCCACCTGCGTCCCGCCTCCTTTGTCTGAGACTTGATTATTATGCAAATTAATGGGTAGCTTTTGCATTTGACGAACTCATTGAAATGCATGAAGCGTTGCCACATCGGAGAAGCGACCCTTGAGGGTACCGCTGGTTAAACATGATTATCACAGTTCCACCTTTAGATGCCAATTACCATGCAATGTGCCCCGTTTGTATAGGGGCATCTTTCACAGCCAACCGCAAATATCTGGTAATCGAATTAAGCAGCTTCGTGTTTTATAAATGTTATCATAAATATTCCATTTTATTAATTACCACGCATAATTCAAGCCAAAATTTAAAAAACACAATAACCAAAAACAAAAAGAAAACGTGAACAAAAACCTAGTTAACAGTAAATGACTAGAGAGTTACTCTATATCCATTAATTCATACTTTTTAGATATAAATACCTGAATACTTGTGTAAGTTGCCACACATGAGTATAATAAACAAAATACAATCTGTCAAAATATATTAACCAAGAACGATAAATGTATATATATATCTATAAATGAGCATCAAGAAACCCAACTTTATCTTGGAAGAGATGGAAGATGTTACTGTATTTTTATAAAATATACTTATGAGGTTGGAAGAGATGGAAGATGTTACTGTATTTTTATAAAATATACTTATGAGGTTCGTTGCCTTTATAAAGGAATACCCATATTATATGTTTACAGATTACATATTATATGTTTGTGTTTCAAATATCTTTGAAATTGGCAAAAGTAGAAAACTGCAAGTCTACGCAGCACGTTCGTTGCCTAAATCTTTTGATTTTTGAAAATATATTTCATACTTTTCGAACAGAACAATTAATTTGAAATATCTTTTGCAAGCTCGAATGTATATTTAACAAACGAAACCGTAGCGTACCCCTTGTTCATCTCATTCACAGGGTATACAAAAAGAAGATTCACCTCAAACGAGAGAAATCGCTAAGCGGCGTTCGACATTCGTTTGTGATTCGTTCGATACCTACGTTTCGTTGGGCTGGCTCTCATTAACATACTTAATTTGTTTCTAATTTATTCATAAATTTATATTTGTAGCACCCGCCCGGCCTGTATTTTTGTTTCTTTTTTCTCTCTCTTTATATTTGGCCAGCGCTGATTTATATACAGTCCGCTGATTAATGGCAGCTGACCTGGCTGGTAGCTGTTTGCCCGGCTGTAAATCAGTTGTTGGCTCTGTTAGCGCTCGCTCCTAAGTAGGTGTTGTTACGCACATTAGGGCCAGGCCATTTGTAATGCCCAGCTTAAACACAAATTGTAGGCATTAATTGATTTTGATGAAAAATTAAAAATAGAGAGAGCAACAAAATGAGCGACAGAGAGAGGGAGAGAGAAAGGGAATTTATTTCGGTGTATATCACAAACACTTTGACGTTTGTGCTTGATTTTATTAATGGAAAATCCGTGAATTCTGTTACAAACATAAGATGCAAGGTCCGTTTTCAAATAACTTAAGAGCTTAGAACTACAGCTAACCAAGTGAATTATATTGCTGCTTGGCTAGCTGACCACATCGCCGCTGTGGCCATTCTGCCGCAGCAACTCCAGCTTTAGCTCGTGCTCACGAGCCTTCAGTCGCAGCGCGGCTATGGACGAAGTGCGTCGATCCTCTGGCGGCGTGGACGAACGTGTTGGCGGCGCCAGCTGCCGTTGCGGTGAGAGCGAGTGCGAGTGCGAATGCGAGTGCGCATGAGCCAAGGTCAGGGCAACAGGCGCCGTTTGTGTGGGCGAGCCGGCGGGCGGCGCTTGATGCGTCAGCGAGATGCCAACCAGCTGCTGTGGCGATAGCTGCGCCGGCGGTGGGGGCGGTTGCTGAGATGGCGTCACTGGCGCCGACTGTGACAGCTGTGAGCTGGGCGAGTTGGGCGGTGAGGCCAGCATATGATTGTTGGGCGAATGCAGATCCGGCGAACCCACCAACATCGGCGGCTTGGCAGCTAGGGTGGGCATAGGCGGCGCACGGCCATGAGGCACAGCCGTCATATTGGCCAGCAGCGACTGAAAGGAGCTCGAAGGCGAATACATCGATGCCATGCCCGGCGGCAGCATGTGCGGCGGTGCACTGCAAAGGCTGAACGTTTAGCTAAAGTACCAACAGAAATGAAAGACAGCACTGTGCAAATATCTTACCGCTGGAACTGATTGAAGTAGCCGGATGGTATCATTGGCGCAGCCGACAAGTGCGGATAGCGAAAGGCGGCCAAATTGGCGGGCGCATCGAATGGCTTGCGCAGCTGGAAGCCCAAATGGGTAAACGGATTGGGCGGCAGGGCGGCACCCACCACAGTTTGCATGCTCGCCGCGCCGCTGGGCAGATACGGATTGTATGGATGTGACTGCGGTCCAACCTTCTCCTGCTTGCGCCACTTGGCGCGTCGATTCTGGAACCAGACCTACAGCAACAACAACAAAAGACAAAGAGGGGGAAGATTGAGACTGAGTTGAGTTATGTATTTCGTACAGGCTACTGTGTCCTGCCAGCTTCTGTGGCAGTCAATTAATGGGCGTGACTATTGAAAACGCCCATTTAATTAGTTTTTAACATAACAATCTGAGTTCGTGTCGAGAACGGTGGCTGATTGCAGCCAGACCCAGTCTCAGTCTCAGTCACAGCGCAAGTTGAATTTGATGTTTGAAGTGGATGCTGGAGTCTTGAGTCTGGAGTCCCTTTGGGATCTGGTCTGGCAATTACCGCTAGAAAGTGTACGTAAACAAATAATGTTGTTTAGCATGAGCGGTAATTAAAAACCAGATCAAAGCCAGGCCCCAAAACCGGATCAGCTCTCATAATGACTGGCACTAAAATTTTTTAGCAAGTGGATTTCCCCATGCTCTAATCTATGGCGCTTGAGCTCTGGGCGGCTTGGTCTAGAAGTGTTTTCATTAGGGACGACATGCTCCATTATTTTTCAATTTTCAACATTGTTAACTCCGTTTGAAGCACGCGCATCGAACTAAACCACACAATTGGTTAGACGATTAGGGTGCTGGGCTTTTACCTGAATCCGCGCCTCGGTTAATCCAATTTTCATCGCCAGCTCTTCCCTGCAAGAGAAAAAAAAAACATGATTTACAAATGGTTAAGCATGAGAAGGGCTACGGTTTTCATAGACAGCAATAATCAAGTATCATGTTATTCAATTAATTTTAATATTCAAGTAATAGGGGTATAAAAAGTTACCTTCAATTTGGAACACTAGACATTATTTTGAGAAACTGTTCATATTCTTATATGTCTTCATACCTTATGCTAGAAATTTATTTTATTTGAAACTAGCTTAATCTAGATTAATCAAATAATTGTCTATCGGAAGCTACTCTATATTGCAAATATTCAATGAGCACTATAAGCAATTAAGAATTTAATTTTGCTTAAGGAAATCTAATTGAACCCATTTATTCGACGCTAATTAACCAATGCCTAAGGTTTATCTAACGCCTCATGCTCATTTCTATTACAGTTAATTGGACTTTTGTTGTCGCTCTATGTGATTCTCATGTCAATCAATCAGGGTAAGTGTAAACAAAGTTACTCTGATTTAGTTGCTTAATTAATAGAGAAGCATTTAAACTGGTTGCATTAATGAAATGAAAACCCGACGAGTGCTTACAAAAAGTTGCTCTAATTGTTGTTATTTCAATTTGTTTTTTTTTTTTCTTTTAATTTTATTTTTATTTTGTGCAATTTCCATTAGCGTTAGGCTGTAGACAGTTCTGGTTGTTTTGTCGGCCAGTTAGCGACGGGTTTCTAATTTATGGCAATTATTATTGCAGTTTTTCATATCTTGTTACATTTCTGCATGTTAATTGAATTTTCTTGTACCCTAGGGGATCTCAATTGACACTGATTCGAAAGATCACTGGAGCGTAATTTAAAACCTTGCTCCAAATAGTTTGGGCTCCGCTCGTAAGGGGGTCATATCATATGCATGTCATAGCCACATTTACCATATATCTCGCATATAAAAACCACATTAAACTTTCGGTGCTCCATACACACTAGAGAATCGATTTATGCAAATTTCGTTTATTTTGTTTTATCTTTGGTCATTATGCTTCACACTCACCTCGTAAATACGTCGGGGTAATGGGTGCGCGAGAAGGCCTTCTCCAGCTCCTCCAGCTGAAAGCTGGTAAATGTGGTTCTATATCTTCGCTGCTTGCGCTTGGGTGCATACTCGTCCGCCTCGCAATCGCTGTTGGGGTCCGAGATGGGACTGTTGGTGCCGCCGCTGGCGCCGCTGGGCACCGCACCAGAAGCTGAGACTGCGGCTGATGCCACACCACGTTCGGCCACGGCATCCGGATGTGGGTGTGCTAGCTTGGCTTCTTGCGGTAGTTCCTCCAGCTTGACCTCCTCCGATATGCCCATAATCCAATAGCCAGCAAGTCGGCCAAGTTACCAGCGGTCAGCTGCACATAGCACATGGAGAGAGGGAAGAGAGACAAATGTACAGCGAATTAGTCTCACATTAGAAGCTCGTAATTCAATCATAACTAAACATGTAATTATCGTACACTTTATTACGCCAATTTCTATAATTTTCAATAGCCATGAAGGCTGCAAGTCGACGCTAAGGTTAGCTGCGGTTGCACTGTGCTTCTAATAATTACACCAGGCAGCACACAAAATGAATACTTGATATATGTCGAAGCCATAAATATCGATGTGACGCTTAACAAATTCTCTAGAAAATTCATTTGTCTTTTAAATAAACAATGTCAAAGAACCAATTACAAAAAAAAAAAAAACTCAAACAGTTTTAAGTTAAAATTTCATGAAAGCACTTTAACGCTTTGATTTTGAGAAATTATTTCTCTCACACGCCTTCTCTATCTATTTATCCTCTATCTATCCATTCATATCTCTCTTCCTCCCACACTCTTTTACTCTTTGACACTTTCCTTCCATTTCTCTGAGTCGCACTCACACGGACTCACTCTCCTATTTATTTACTAAAAAACCCAATAAAATGAAAACTCCATGTAAGTTCGATATAGTAACTAAACTTTTAGGCCATTCTCTCTCTTTCTCTCAATTTCTCTCTCATTCTAATCATAGGCTTGATTGATTTTATTTAGTTTTTCTACCTATTTCAATTGTATATGCACTCATATTTAGTTGGGTTTCATTACCCTGTTATACAGTGTTGTTAGTGTCTGCGCTGTATTGCGGTCTGGCCGCGTGCCTTATGAGCATGGTCTGAGCAGCAACAGCAACTGCAACTGCAGTAATAGCAACAGCTGTAGCAGCTGCTCAGTCAATGCAAATCGATGGCATCAGCCGTCAGACTAAAGACAGCCAGACAAATACTTGGGTACATCGAGCTCAGCTGATCTTTCATCAACACGTTTCCTTGAGCTGCGTTTATTTTGTTGGCCATTTCATGTGCAGATCGTTTGGAATTTTAATTAAATTGGGCGGCAACTTCATTTTCATCATCATCAACGGCTGGCGTGAGCAACCGCAACCGGAGTTGGTTGGCTACCCTCTGGCCAGTTGACCAGTTGATCAGATCAAACTGAATACCTGCTATCAGGTGGCAGTTGGGTTGAGTTGCCTCATACGGCGTTTTGTTAATTTTCAACATTTTTGTTAATTTCATGTTTTGCTAATTAATATACAATGTGCCCTAATGACAATTAAGTAAATGGTTAGCTCCAAATTGGAAAACGTCATGCCGCACTGTCTGCAAGTTTTAAAACTTCACTACTTCGGACTTTTCTCTTGTTGTTTTCAATGTTTTTTCTCTCTGTTGCCCATGCCGGGTGCTTCAATGGCTGCTTGATTGATGGCCTCGTCCTTATGTTGGCGTTGTCTTCGTGGCTACCGTTGACATTTCGCCTCGGCCCTGGCTGAATACATATATCAAAATTGTCCAAATACCTTGTTAAATGGCAAATTAGTGTGCTTCTGATTGATTTAGTTGCATTCTTGCGACGAATGAAGTTGCAACCGCTGCAGCAGACAACCAACATCATCAACAGCAACAACATCATTAATGTCCACAACACAATGATCATTGTCCACTGTGTTGCCAAGTCATTCTTTGTGGCTGATTTCAAGTAAGGGCATTCCCACTCTGTGAAGTAATTTGTCAATGCAGTAGAATATAAATTCTCATTGTCTCCTATTGATATTGATTAATCGAACTTATCAAGAAAAATCATTTATAAAATGAAATTTAATTTCTGCTTTATAAATAATCTAAGCGCATTATCGATCGTAAGAATACTTATCATGCTTTGATATTGTAGCATTTATAGATAGGCAAATTTTCGTTATAATTTATAAAGAACCCAAATTTCAAGGTTTTCAAGAAGCTTTATTCTTCTTGATTTTATTCCTGGTAAAAGGTAAGACTCAGCTGATGTCAGCTAAATCGATAATCATCGAATGGAAGTAATTAATCACAATGAAGTTTTTTTTAATTACTCGTATTTAAGAGATGTTCAATAAATGTTATTTTTAATTAATAAAATGTTACTTATGACAATACAAACATATCTCAATAGACATGTGTATATGAAAAACTTAATTTATCTTTAGTATTAGCGTTTGCATAAATTATCGAAGCACTAAATACATTTGAATACCGTTCTCAACTGAATCTCAACTTCAATCAGATTCCATATGTCATTCAACTAGCAGTTTTGTTAGGGCAATCGATATTCGTTGTTGCCACGTAATGGGCTTTTTTATTCCTGTAGTTATTTTTTACACATACATCCGTCAGTTCATAACTCATTTCTCATCATTAATAACTTTTATTATGATTCGCACTGTCAGTTTTCAATGTTGTTAACAAATTCCGCGCATTGACAGCTGACAAACTTAATTTGTGTAAGACTCGGCTGCAAATTATTAAATTAATTGTACGAATTGCAATTATGCTGACGATGAATAAGGAGAGAGCAGTAGAGAGAGATAAATAGAGAGGAGAGAGTGAGAGAGTGAGTGAGGGGCAATTGCAACCCCCACATACTCACCTGTCTAATCACACAACATCAAGATCGTAAAATAGCGCTGATTAATTCATTGCATGCGAACTGTATCTTCGACTACTGTGTGTAGATACAGTGCCAGTACAGTAGACACTCGACTCAACAAAAAAAAAAAGAAAAAACACTGAAGTGTTCGTTCGGTTCGTTGAGTTATGTGGGGAATGTGTGCCGTTTGGCTTTGTTGTCGTACCGCCTTATAATTGTAAACGCGTTACGACTTTATTATTGGAGGATGGGAGTGGACTGGTGCCGAAGGAGTCAGTTGATCCAAACAAACATCAAAGTCTTTCGGACTGATTGACGCCGGTAATTAAAAAACTTTTCAGTCAAACTGTCAACCCACTCGAACGTCCACACGTAGCAGGCATAGCAGCAGCTCTTGGCAATGTTTGTTGCTATTTGGTGCTCATGGCTTTATTTACGAGCTTGGCCAGAACTAATCAAGTTAGCGGCTGCGCTTGCTCTGCTCAACTGCAGATAGTGCGATTTCCCACTATGGTCAATTGGCCATAGCCTTGTGGAGCGAGTCGAGCGGGGGGTTCGGGCTCGTCGTGCCTAACTGTTTGACACACTGTGGCGACTGTCTTGCTTAGGGCTCACATGCTAATCAAGTCAAGCGCCAGTCGCAGGACTGAGTTTTCCAGTCTACAGTCTTTCAGTCTCAGTCACTCAGTCTGTCAGTCACTCTGTCTATCAGTCAGTCAGTCAGTCTGCAGCAGCTGCTTCTTCTTCTTCTTCCTCGTCATCATGCTGGCCAGACTTGTTTGCGGTTGCTTGTTTCGTTTAGAGATAAGCTCCATTAGTGTCTGGAAATTATTTAAGAGCAACTTTTGCTGCCAACATTGTGAGAGCTGCGTGTGGGTTTCCAAGTTTATTATGCTCTGTTCGGCAAGTGAGAAAGAGGAATATTGGCTAAGGTCTATATTAGGCTGCGAGCTGAGTCTCCTAACTAACTTTTGATACGTACGAAGGGAGTTTCATTATTTCGGTGTCATTTTGTGAAAGAATTGATCAGTCTGGTACACCCAACTGGAATACACCTTGTTGTTTTATATACGTTTTTTATGCTGCCCTCCGACAAGTGCAGAAATTAAGAAATTAATTCCTAATAACAAGCAGGCTATATGTGCGTACTCTTTATGCTGCGATGCAGCAGCACAGTTCCATAGGGTCCTCCTGCTGTCATCTCGATAAGCATCAATGTTTTGCTCTGTTCTCGCATCCATTCTTCCACTCTTCCTTTCCTGCCTTTTGCGCCCTGCCCATCCGCCTGCTGTGCTGAGCCATGTCGCTTGGTGTCGTTTTTATGGCTGCACTTTTGTGTTCCACGCTCCTGATGCGGACTGCAACTGGGCATCGCATATTTCATTAAATGGAGAGCAAGTCCAGCCGAGGCAAGACGAGACGAGACGAGACGAGACGACTCGGTCGAGTCGATCGTTGCAGGTAGAGCAGCCCAAACAGAAGCTCATTTCTGGCATTTTGTTAATGCGTCTGCCCGGTCCACTTGGTTCGCTTTGGTATCTGCTGCAGCTTATTTATGGGTTTACATTAGGCTAAACCACTTTAGTCACACTTTGATGATCAGCATTGTAATACCCCTCTGGCAAGCCCACTGATAATGGCGAGCTTTTTGGGTGGCGCCTGCTCGCAAAGCTCAAGCTCATCATATTAACAAAGGTGTGTGGTCCTCCAGCCCCCTCCACACACTCACACACAGTCGCCCTCAAAGAGAAGTTGATGGATTAGAAAGAACCCACCTGCTTTGTCTTTCATTTTACATACTTGATAAAGTCAATTATTAATTTCATATAAGCGCAGACAAGCGACAATTTCGTGAGTCACCCAAAAAACATAAAAATGATAGCAAGAGCAGAGAGACAGCAGAGGGACTGTAGCCGAGGCAGAGGCTGCACCTGAGCTGCTGCGGCTGCGACTGCTGCTGCTGCTGCTGTTGCTTGTGTTGGCGCCGGCTTTGGACGCGCCAGGTGCGATAAGGCAGCATTCTTCTTGTGCCCCAGACGCCGGCAGAGAGTCACAATGCCATCGGTACATTATGGGCCTCTAATGCACACACACTCACATATACATTCACAATTATAATTAGTTTATTCATATCCTGTGTCGAAGTCTCGGCAGCCTCATTTGTTGATGGGGCAATCTTAATTCAATTTACTGCTTATCAACCAAAACCAAAACGACTGATGAATACACTTACAAAAGTCAAAAATGTTTCATATTAAGACAACAAATTTAATAATAATAAAGTCGAAAGTTTTTACTGCTGCAGCTTTATACCTTAGTTAATATACTATTTAGTCTGCTATTTATTTATCTACATGGTCACTTTAAGCTTTGTTAAATATTAAATTCAGTTCATTTTACTTGACTTTTTCAGCTGGAAATATCATAGGTCAGTAGTAGATCGTTTACCTAATATGAAGATTAATTTTATAAAATTATTTCTTAAGTCTAACCTTTTAGTGTCAGTCATGCTAACTCTTAGCTAATTTCACTGTATAATGTAAACTGTTTTTTAATATTATTTCAAAAGTTTTACAGAAAACATTTAAGTTTTCTCCATGTTTACGTTCAGTATACCCAACTGTAGTTAAGAGTATTTGCGCTTCGTTGTAGCATGTGAAGCTTTTCCTTTTCTTGTTTTTCTTGCGCCTTGGCCACCCTAATGGCTGAGTTGTTGACGGTAGCCAAAGGTAGTCGTCGACGCAGGTTCGGAGAGCCGTGACTCAGGTCCAGACGTACCGAGCTGTTGATGTGGATGATGCGAGACCAATTACTCATAAAATGCATGTTAAAAACGTTGACCAAGGAGCTGGAGGAGCGAGAGAGCAACCAAGCGAGCGGCAAGCGGCATGAAGCTGTGTAGTCGAACAACTGTTGTTCGACGCCTGGCGCTGACTTTCTGCTTTGTTGTTGTTGGCCAAGTTTAGTAAGGCTGAGACAGAGGCAGCGACTGAGACTGAGACTGTGACTTGAGCCAAGGCGACTTGGTGCATCCGTGTTTCCGCCCTTTGTCATTGTCTTGTACGTTTTGATAAGCGACGGAGAGCAATTTGGGGACGTGTCTGTGGTTGATATTTCATGCATGTTTGCATGTTCCATTTGGGACCGGACTTTGGATTTGGATTTGGCTTGAATTAATGAAGCATATATACATAGCTCTCAATGAGCTGGACGGGTTCGAACCTTGGCACCAACTCTTATCGCCCCCAAAACCTGAGCGTGGGTGTAGGCCATGCTGCATGGTATTGTATAGTTGTCTAGTCAACGCCTCTTTGGTAGCGCTTTCGACAACTGTAATTGGGAATTGTGATCGCTATTGTACCCAGTACGAAGTCTGATAGATAACAGCCATTGTATCTATTAGATACGAATTGCAGAAAGCGAGACAGAGACGTTATCTGTAGACAAGTTTTAATTGTGTGTTGGCCTAATTGAATTGAGCTGCAAATACCTCAAATGCTATTTTGGCCTCGAAACATATTTTAATTTACCCAAAACCAAAAGAAACGAAGCAATCTACCTAATTAGATGTGAAGATCTTTGGAGGTACTCGCTATCTGCAGCTGATGCTTGGTCATAGATAGGGCTACGAGTTCGATTTGCGTCACAGCTAAACGAAATTGAAAATTGGTTGTGACAAGTCACATGCGCATTATTATTAATTAAATCAGAGCAAAGAAAATGATCGATTATCGCCAGGAAACCGAAACTCTTCAATACGGAAAGAAACGGAACGGTGCGAAACGGAAGGGCAATACAAATTGACGTGACGTTGATATGACTGACGGGGACTTATCTGAACGCTAGTACTCGTATTACTCGACTGACCCAAGCATATCTCAAGCCTATACTGATACTTCGACTAGCTTTTTGACATGATTATCTCTGCCAGATAACTGGGGGCAGTTAATTTCATTTATTTGGTAGGTGTACACATATGTACGAGTGGAAATTTCATTGCTTTGATTAGCAAACATTTTGAAAACATCACAATGACAAAACGTGATTTATTTACCATCGGCTCAGACGCTGACAATATTTTGTACTCTTTTAATGGTGTTTAATTAAAGCCAATCAGCGATAAACCTATCGACCTATCAGCATGTGGCATAGCCTATAAATACACATAGACCATGCAGCTAATGAAAAATAATGAATAATAATAATATTTTGTCGATTGCTTGGGCTAGTTAAGCTCCGTGCTCGTACAAGGCGATACGATATGTCCGAGTAAATTAATCAAATTTAATGATATTTAATTTTCGTTTTCTTAGTCTAATTTTGGAATGGGCTAGAGTACGATGCGGCTGGTGATTGTCGATTACCGATTAGTCGACTTGTGCAATATGTAATAGTATCGGGACGGGACGGGACGAAAATTAGGTCATGTTTAAGACAGAACCCTGAATTGAGCTGATCGTATCATTGAATATTAGATAGAGAAGAAAAGATAGTGAGAGAGATAGAGAGAAAGCGAGAAGGGAGACAGAAGAGTGAGAGAGTATATGTACTGAGTGTTGAAGTAGTGCTGATGAGTAGATCAGATAGTTATAATAGGAGCATCAGATAAGAATATTATTAGCTTTTAAAGAACGTCTAACGGCTTATGAAATATTTTTGGGTAGTCTACAGTTTATTACGAAATATGTATGTTTTGTGCAACATTTTGTCATATAGAATATTTATATTGAAGTGATTCCGTTAGCTAGATGGATAGAGTATTTCTTAAAATCGCAAAGATAATATATTTTTTATTGATATCATTCATATTTTGTTCATCAATTCAGGAAAATTGTGAGAAAGATCTGGTTTTCACATTCTATCTATCCATCGATGTTCTACTAATTTTATTATAATGTGAGGACATTATGAAATCTTGTGAATATGAAGTACAAATTTCGAAATTAGGTGGAAATTAATACAAATATTTTATATTAAATTGTAACATAATTTGAATATTTTAACATTACGTAGTATTTAAATTAAAGTTAAGAAGTTTTCAAAATTTCTCTCAGTTTCTTTTATTATTAAAGCTGCTCTTTACTTATAGTCAGCTAAATAACTCACCTTCTTCTTGTATAAATTTTTACTGAAGTAGATGTTATGTAATATCGCTATGCTGTGATCTTTGGATGATTATTGCAATCTTTATCTTTTTATTTTTTGTTTTTATTTTAAGGAATTTAATATTTGAAAGCACTTGCGATATGAGCACTTGCCGACGGTCTTTGCACAGAAGCCCTATTCCAATTGTTGTCAAGTCAACAGCTAAGCAGTACTCCAATGATGTTTTATATTACTTTTAATCACGTTTGAAGATCTTAAATTTGGGTCTAGTTTAGGCACTTTTCCGCACACACACACAGATACACAAGTAGAAGAACTGCAGCTGAACGGCAGCTAAAACACACTCGGGTTATGCGCGACGACGGCTTCTGGTGACCGGGCTCCGTCAGTGCCGCAAGCGAACTACACAAAGAGCAGGCGGCTGGCAGTTAGGCCGGTACCGAAAAATAATTCAGGTGGGCCGCAGACGCCAACAACCGGTTGTCGGGCTTATGGAGCACTCGTTACCGGCTGCTGAAGCGAGAGAGCACGATACACGATCGTAGCAGGCGCGATCGCAATGAGCGATCGATTGCTGAGGCAGGTGTCGGGCCGGCAGGTGAGCAGCGCAGCAGCGCTCCGCCTCGCTCACTCGTTAGACTACTCTTTCTCGCTCGCCCTCATTCTTTGGTAGCGCAGTGTGAGCGAGAGAGCGCATGCTGCTGTAGCCGCCAATGAGCATTGACCTATGAGAGCAGCCAGCGCTAAGGCGCTCAAATAATGGCGGCTAACCGGCCGCTGCCGGCTCTGTAATGCTGTAAAGCTCGCTCTTCAACCCTACCTCTCTCTCTCTCTAACTCTCTGTCCCTCTCTCTCTCTCTCTGAGTATGCATGTGTGTGAGTGGAGTGGCACGTAATTGAATAAGCCTCGCACAAAGTGCAATAAATTTGATTAGCAAAATGGAAATTTATTTCCCTGACTTTTGTTTGCTTTCGCATACGTTTTCCATCGATGCATTCGCCTGGCTTTGCTGCCTTTTCTTTCTTTTCCCTTTGCTTTGTTGTTGCGGCTCATAAATTAAATAATTTAGCTATCACGCATATGCCGAGAATGGTTGTTGCTGTTGTTGTTGTTGTGTTGGATAGTGTTAAGGGCCTCGTAAATGACTTTGTTGGTTTATTGAATCCAACTGCGAGACGACTGTCAAGGGCCTTAATTGCTTGATATGCTCAGGAGTTAGAGTGAGAGAAAACGGTACGAAGGAAGAAGAAGGTGCCAAGAGCAAAATGACAAACATGAGGATACTTGAAAACAAGCACGTATATATTATCAATGATAATTAAGATATTAAAACTAACAAAGTAAACATGATTCATGCACCGAACGAAATAAAACATTTTTTAACTATCCTTGTTCTAAAATAAATATATATTATATTTTTATCTTAGAATTGTTCCTAGTCATATTATATCATATAATCATTATCATAATCCTTTCATATCACTTCATATTAAATCTATCTGATGCTGATGCTTCAAACTCTTTACTTTCCATATTTTACACTAGGTCAAAATCATTTTTGTCTTTATTGTTTAAACGTTCAACACTATGCCAGCGAACTGTCTTTGAAGAATTTTATAATCCCATTTTTAAACAGCTTCCAGAGCTAACGCATAACACTTCACTGTTTGCTAGTGCTTCGTATGAAGCCCTTCTCCGTATAAATTGAATTCAATTTACTATAGTTATAAATAGCCCTTCCACTCGTATGATTATTTTGTTGGCAACCATTTGTTAGCATTCCATACCAAGCTAACTACTTCATTAAACCTCATCCCAGCTTCAGGCTCAGACTCAGCTCCATTTAACAGCAGACTCCCTGCTTCTCCTTTCCCCTTTCCCCTCTCCCCACACCCCACTGGCTCTCCTCTAGCTGCAATCGTATTGCCCGGCAATAAATAAAGTGTTAATGGCAATTGCATACAAATAGTTTGGTGTTGCCATTATATGGACATTATAGGTATAATACCATTGTCGGGGGCCCATAACAAGAAGTAAACAATGCGACGCAGCAGTCGCTGCACTTTAAGCCAATTTCACGCTTCATTTACAGGCGAAATGCAAACAAAAGGCCAGCCGACTAGTCGACCATTTGCCGGGTTCGAGCTTAAGTTCGGGTTCAATGTACAGCAGGTCGTCTGGGGACGCTATCTGAGAGTCGCTTGGCTAGCGGTACGGCTTTCACGTCCCCATGTGGCCGTGTCAATCAGCTCGTCGCGCAAGGTGTGCGCTCATTTTGGAGTAGCTGCCCAGACGCTGTATACCCTGGTCCCTGGTCCCTGGTCGCTGGTCTCTGGTCAGTCCATATGCTCAGTCCGCGTCAGAGTTGCGCATGCGCGCACGTCCTAATGTAATTATTATCTCAACAATTGAATTTCCGGTCTCGGTCTCGGTCTCGGACTCTGTGTCTGTCTCTGGGTCTGAGGCTTTTGGTCTCTCCCGTTTCGTCTTCGACCTGGGACAGATGTCGCGCAAAACGTTACAAATGTGCACTTAATTGCGCAATTAAATAATTTTATTTCTGCTGCGCGTTTTCCTTGCCTTTCCCCAGCTTTCCTCAGCGCCTCTCGCCCGGCACATTAAGTGCCAGTTGAATGTTGAGAAACGGTCCGAGCCAAACAAATTGCAGCTATGTGCATCCATCCACTCCACTCACTCTATTCTATGCGTCAGTATGTGTGTGTATACCTTATCGCCTGTCCAAGTCGTCCTCTTCATTAAAAAGTTATAAAGCTATAAATTTAACTGCCAGATGGAATGCTGCAAAATATATCCAAATAGATCATGTGTCATTGTATGTCAGTGTTAAGATATTCATTAGATTTAATATAAACCTACTTTAAATCTTTCTACAGCTTAGCTGATTTAATTTAATAGAAATACATCCGATGTAAGTAATGCGACCTTTCCATAGGGCAAGAGCTCAGCTTATGGCTTTCCTGTATGAGCTTGATTCAGAGGTAACAGAAATAAATTATTAAGCGAACGTCTGCTTAATACTCGACCCTAAAGAAATCCCTATTCATCTAAGAGTATTAAAGTAAAACACATTTCATTAACAATTCGGCTGCATTTTTCTTATAACATAGTTCATAGTTCTTCATCTTTTCCCTTATGAAATAGAGTCAAGTGAGCAATTCAAATGCTGATAAAATTGTTTGTTCTACTTGTACTTCAACTACTTAAGTTATCTTAACTTAGGTATGCCTTATCTCTATTGAGTATTAAAAACTTTCTCGCTGGAAATTTCTGCTTTCTTAGGCCCTTTGATTGCCTGAGGGTGGGTTAATTATGCGAGCGAACGAGGCGTTTGGCATAATCTCAGTCTAACCTACATAGGTAACCACCCACTATCGCCCTCGCCTGCCACTCCTGACATCCCTGCTCCAGCTACCGGCTATCATTGCGTTGAGGTTCACAGAGGTAAAAACATGAAACGAAAAGCAACTGTAAACGATACCAAATTATATTTAATTACGTGCGATTAGTTAGGGTTACTGGAGTCGCGCGATCAAATGCCAGCGATAAGGCGACATCGCCTGTCATTTGGACCATAAATAGACTCGGCCAAATACAGCCGAATACCAAAAAGCCAAACCCGCAACCCGAGAAACGCAACGGCTAACATTAATTCAATTACAAATGGCTGCGTTTGCGACAAAATGGGGCAGGCGTGTGACATAATCACCCCGAAAGCTAATGATGACAAGGAGAGGGTAAGCAGTAACTAGTACTCAGTAATTCCGACTAGAGTTGTGCCAGGCCGAGCTCTGCACACTCCCCTGAGTTGCGCGAGTTGTATACGCCCACAATGTTTGGTAATTTGATACGACGATTTGTCTTGCTTTCATTACGACATTCCTTTTTTTTTAGTTTTTCCAAGCGACAACTGCATTTTCACTCAATTTTCGTGGCCACCAAATTTGACTTAAGCGGAAGCGCGTTATTAACTGGTTTATGCAAGCCATAATCGCCCGATTCCCAGCTAACGATAAGCAGCTGAAAAGAGGGTGCGGGTGCGGGTCGATTACCCAAACAATTCCAAATATTCCGACTACCCAGGCTACCCAATAAGCAGCCAACAATTAAAACGAAAGCGCGGTAATTTTATTTGTTCGTAAATCTAATTGTGGAAAACATGGAAACAAACAGCAACAGCAACAGCAACAACTACAACTGCAACTCATAGCTATTCGTAATCGTAATGTAAAAATGAAAAATACTTTTGGTAATTAGTGCGTGTACCGGCTGAAAAAGCCTGGGCTAGCCGTGTAGCCGGGTAGCGGGCCACAGTTTTACTTAATTGCCTCGCCACAGTTTTCGTTTTTGTTTTCCAGTTTTAATTTTTCAGTTTTCAGTTTTAAGTATTCGTTGTTGGCTTTCATTTTTCGCCTTTTTGTTTTTGCAAATTAATGTTTTTTTAGTCAATTTCAGCTTAATGTGCGTCAATTAAAATTATTAAAGTTTATCTTTCTCATATTTTAAAGCGTTTAGTAAATTAAATATAATTTATCCACTGGCCAGTTCAAAACGAATATGATTGGAACATTAGCCCAGCAGCTGGCCTTCAAATTGTAATTGGCATTACCTATAAAACTTTTTCTAAATATTGTTGTTTAAGCTAGATTAGAGTTTCTTTAGTATGACAACTTTGGAATATATTTATTTTGCTTTTAAGGTATTTGAACTGATTTTCTTAGGAGTAGTATAGTTAAGCTCACGAATAGAATCAAGTTCTCAAAAAAAATAATTAGAATAGGCTTACATGTTAGACGTTGTTAGACGTAGCTAATATCATTTTTACTGCATATATCCAAAACTGGTTTATCTGAATATAACTTGGTCATATTTATAATTTTATTGGAACTAGGTACACAAATTTAGCAGGCTTTAAGGCATAAGTCTAATGCTCGAATATCTTTCAGGTATTGTAATTGGTATACGCAGATGCACAGGTTCCACGGATGTGTGGCTGTCCGAAACTAAGCGGACCACTCACAAGCAGCTGTTCAGCTCAACTACCAGGTGTGTGTGTGTGTGTGTGTGTGTGCCATACAATCTTCAGTTATCCCTTTGGCGCATCGCGACCCTCGTTTCTCTCGTTTCTGCTGCTATCAGCGCATCGAATTCGTTTGTTTTATAATTGATTAATTAGAGGTCGGCCTGTACAGGCTCTAGCTGTGAGTGGATGTTAGGGACGCGGGCTATCGTTAGAATTATAATTGACTTGCGGCATGTGTTATCCTAAGTAATATACCAATTTGCTGTCTGTCTGTCGGCAATTTGTTTGTGCTTCAGCGCCCCCCAAATTGATTTTATTGACTTGTAAATGATGTTTGTTTAAGTGCTCCTCACTCGTTCCATCTTATACCCCTTGGTCAGTTGCCAAGTTGCTTCCGTTCATATTCATATCCCTATCGATGACTATGTCCGTGTCCATATCCCTGTTGGCGACTGATGTCACCGCTAGTTAAATTTATGACCGCATCAGCTGCCAATGACCCTTTGCCAGCCGGGCTTCTATGCTCTGATATATGACTTAGCATACCCTTTTGTTTAGGATATTATAATGTTCACATCTTAATGTGACACCGTCTTTACTTTGAGGAGATATGAGTCATCTGCAGTCGATGCCAAAAGTTATTTTGAATTTCAATGTTTTTTTCGTAAAAGCTGATGAAGAGAATTATTTATTCGATCTTAAGCTAGCTGCTCTTTCCAGTCGTATATTAATTTATTGATTTCACGCCGCCATTGCGAAACGCTTGCCAATATTTCGAATGGGCCGAAGACGGCCTCCGGCTTGGACGACCGTTCGACGCCGTGGCAGCATTAAGAGCTGAGCTCACTATTAATTACATTTTGTAATTAGTTGCAAATTTTTATTGCTGGCCGCATGTGGCAAGCCGTCCGAGCTACCACTTGAAAGTCATAAGTACCTAAAGATGACTGCGAACCGCATTAAGATTGATAACGAGCTAATGAATGTAAATTTTATACCCCAACCTGTCTGTCTCTCAGTCAGTCTGTCAGTTGTGCCGTCTCACGAGCCTGGGAGTCCATCATTATAAGTTTGAGTTGTTGCTGGAGTTTTCAAAAGGTTTCCCAGAAGCTCGCAAATTGAATTTCGCACTAAGCTCGGCTTCCGTTTACATTTGCCTGCAATTCGCGCGCGGTAGTCCACGACAACGAGTACAGTGAATATGCCATAAAAACGAACTGTGGCAGGGTGTAAAAAAGCGTGTAATGCAGATGTGAATGAATTAACGAATTGGTATTTTAATAAGTATGCAAACTAGGATAAACGAACGAGTGGCACATAAACAAGAGAGCAATCAAAGGGATGGGTGAATGATCGAAGAGGTCAACTAACGAGTGAATTAACTAACGAGTAAGCAAACGAACGAGCAGAAAAACAAGTAAGTTGAGGAGCGCTAGGAAACCTAGCGAGCAGTAAAGCATATTTCCGAAACAGTGAGATAAGCTATAATTGCTAAAAAAAATATTTTATAGCCTAGAGTATCAGCGAGAGAATAGCTTTATTAGTTGACAGAGTAAAGAGTTACTTGGCGAGTGAGTAAAATTACCAATTTAATATTAAGGAATACAACCAAAATGAAGTCTAATAATATAACTAGAGACAATAACTCAACGAAGCGGGCTTCAGCTCTATAAAGTGATGTCCACTGTGGCTGCAAAACAGAGGCTGCGAGAAGAGACCGAGCTTTGGGGAGGAGCAAGTGCAATGCAATTACGAGTATGTACAAGCTACTTGGTAATAACGTATTGATAATTAAAGAGATGGGTCGAGGGCTCATCAAAGCTCTTCCCGTTGGCGAGGCGACGTTGACAAATGAGTTCATCAGCAGCTCCTTTGGTCGAGCGGCAGCAGATGCTAATTCCGAAAGAAAGACAACGAGAGAGAGGTAGAGTAGGGCTGCATTAATTTTAAAGTGAAAAGCGATTTATTTTCGCCATTTGCGCCGTGTGGTCGTTTAATAAACAATTTAATAGCGCGCATAAATTTCAGACTTCATATAATAAACCCATTTGTCTTGGAAGGGGAAGCAACTCATAAGCCTAAAGACCTTATGCACATGCCAAGACAACGGCTCGAGGTTATTAAATTATGTGGCTCAAGCGTAAAAATAAACCGTAGCAAATTTAGGACGAGACACAGCTAGAGACAATGGAAGAGAGAAACAAAGAGAAAGAGGGAGAGAGAGAGAGTGAGGGCGATCTGCCTGTTTAACGAGCCCTAATGGATCCCCAAGAGCCCAATTCAGCCTCATAGCTAAGCCAACCGCCCCGACTCGCTCTCGTCACTGACTTTCTCCTAAAAAAAATTAGACGCGAGTCGGCTTCAATTAATCAGAGATATTCGAATAAATCAAGTGCCATAAAAGTGACACAGCGTGAGAGCTGGAGATGGCACCACAGCAGGCACTTGGCCAAGCACAAAAGATGAATATTTAATTAGGAACAAATTAAGAATGCAAATAATGTGGAACTACCGTGGAGAGGGCGTTGCTCGATTGAACTACGACTCGGCAACTGAGTCGATTATTAATCGATAGACCTTATAATTAGTGGGCATACAACAAAGCACAGTCCAATCATTTGCTGGCGGGACGTCCCGGCTAATTGAACGGGGGAATCCAAAAACTCTGAAACTCTGAAAATTGTAAGTCTGATCCGCTGAGCGCGTGCTGCCCCCAAAAGCAACTAGTTCCTTATCGGATTTGCCACAGCTACAGCTTGTTGTCTTCGATTCTTATCGGACAACACTTTGTTGACTGGGCATCGCCTTCAAACGTTGCCGCTTTGTTAACGAAATGGAAACACAGAAAATTGGACCCACCAATTGGTATCGATGTCATCGGAACTGATCGTTTATTTATTTAATTCTAGCGTAAAACAAGTAAGCTATAGAATTTAATTGTGCATAATTCATGTGTATTTAGCCAATGAGTTGAAAAGATTTTTCAATGATAAGCCAAACAAAATCCCTAGCTTAACCAGATTTTAGGTATGATTCACGAAGTTGACTTTTTATACACATGGATCTTGGTTTCAACCTTAAATGAATCCTCTTATAGATTGTAAGAACGTTGTTAATTATGATATAGATATATTTAGTTCAGAAATCAGTCTCCATATTTGTGCTTTTAATTGAAATTCACTTAGCCATAATTTCATTAGATCATTAGCTCCTACGACTCTGGCATTCTACAGTTGAGTTTATGGACTTGGCGTTTAGCGGGAACCGAACGCAGGCTATTGGACTTCCTGGGAAGCAAAGCTGAACAACTTAATTAAGGCAGGCCATAGAAAAAAAACCACGCTCAATCGCACACACAGAATCAAACGGTGAGGGGAGAAGACTTTGTGATTGGAATCGCAGGCATCAAGCAATTTGTATTCGGCCATCAGACAGCAACAAGTCATTTCACACTTTGATCACGCTGCACGCTGTACAACTTCAGCTGGAGTAGGCCGCAGGCAGCAGGACCTAAAGCCACATATCCATAAAAGGATGCCAGAAACAACAACTTTGGAATGTGCCTGCCCCATGCCCCATGCTCCATGCATATATTAAACAACCAGCCACATTCGAACGGTCGCCCGCGCAACGTTCGAGTGTGTCGTTCGAGAACTGTAGTCGAGAATCGGAGTCAGGAATTGGAGTCGAAGTAGGCACCTTCACAGTAATTAACTTGTTTCAATAATTACGCATGCGCATTTGCACATGTTCCAATGCCCAGTTCCATGGCCAGTTCCAATGCACCATTCGGTTGCCGGTTGCCTGTTGCCAAAGCTTAACAAGATTTTTGCATTGCGTGCGCATTCGAAAGGTGAACAACAGACTCCGTTTCTCCAAATTCCCTAACAATGGCTACCTTAGCTAACCACAGGCTTTTAACTAAGCAAATAAAAATCATCATAACGAATTTGTTTAGCTGTAAGTTCCGGAGCTAAAGCTTAGAGAGTTATGAGTTTCACAGAATTTTCAGACTCGATACTGACCAAAACCAGAAATTTCATTCATATAAGAATTTTGTCTTTTGACTAACTTACTGATGTCGAGGATCGGCCTAAGATACACTGTTAGATAAGAAATATAGTTGACATTTTTATTTGTCTTAGCTTAATTTATTCTATTCAATAATCTAAAATCGACTACTTCAAATATACGGCCTGTGGGTTAGATATAAAATTATCCGTGCTACATATTACGGTATAGCACCTTAGTCCTTGCTCAAACTATTCTGAGCTTGTTCAAATATTACGAAGAGACTTTCGACTTCGTTGCTATCAATTGTGGATGGATTTCTCTTGCTTTTCGTGGAAATTTATGCAGCAGCCGCCGCTTATTAAGCAGTCCATGTCTCGGCTTCATCAGCTGTCCACATGTCCAGCACAGCCCAGTACCGTCGCGTCCAGTTGGCCCGTTGTCTGTCGTGTCCGTTGAGGTGGCAGCAGCACTTAATTATTGATAGCATTACAAACGCAGGTTCAGCGGGTCACATCTTGTAGACGTCCGCAACTATAGCAATTCTCTTATTCTTATTGAGATCTTTATTTGGTGCACTGTTAACAATTTATCTTTTTATTCGGGCAGCAAGACAAGAATTTGGGGTACTCAACTACAACAATCAAGACACTAACACACAAAACAATATAGGACTAAACAAATATACAGATACAGAGAGATGAACATTTACAACTGAGTGCTATCAATATCATGTACTGTGACGTCTTCCATACCGGGTATACTCTGAACTGCCTCGTTCATCTCTGCGGCCTTACTCGCATTGTTCATTTCGCCCATTTCATCCATACCACCCATTCCACCCATTCCCCCCATTCCACCCATTCCTCCCATGCCGCCCAACGCGGATAGTGCATCCATACCACCCATGCCACCTAGATCTAAACCGCCGAGAGCATCCTCCAATCCACCACCACCACCAAGGGCAGCCAGAGGATCCTTATCGCGCACATCGGTGATGATGACCTCAGTGGTGCTCAGCAGCGATGCAACGCCAGCTGCATCCTGTATAGCAGTCCGCACCACCTTGGTGGGATCAATAATGCCCTTGTCGACGAGATTTCCGTACTCGTCCTTCATTGCATCGTAGCCAAAGTCATCCTCGCCGTTCATCACTTGGGCCACCACCATGGCCGCGTCGACTCCTGCATTTGCTGCAATGGTCAAGCAGGGTATACGCAGAGCATGCGTGACTATGGCAATGCCATGCTTCAAGTCCTCATTGGCCGGATCCAGTTCCAGCAAGCGAGGTATGCAACGCAGCAGGGCAGTGCCACCGCCGGGCACAATGCCCTCCTCGATGGCAGCTCGTGTTGCGTTGAGAGCATCGGTGACACGATCACGCTTCTCACCCACCTCCACCTCACTGGTGCCTCCAATGTGAATGACAGCGACACCATTGGTAAGCGTGGAAATGCGAGCACGTATACGCTGCTTCTGCTCGTCCTTAGTTGTGGGATCATTTAGCTCATCCTGCAGCTCCTGGATTCGTCTCTTTAGCAGCTCTGGCTTGCCCTGGCTCTGTAGTAGCATGGTCGTGTCCTTGGTAACAACAACCTCGCCCACCTGACCGAAGTCTTCAACTTTGGCCTCCTCAATTTTGGCATAGTTAATATCATCCCCAAACACCGTGGCACCCGTGGCGGCGGCAATGTCTCCAAGCAACTGCTTTCGGTACTCGCCATAGGCCGGCGCCTTGACGGCGCACACCTGAAGGCCCATCTTGAGCCGGTTGATCACCAGAGCGTTCAACGCCTCGCCAGAAATGTCATCCGCAATGATGAGCAGTGGACGACGCTGTCGCAGCGACTGCTCCAGCCCTCTCAGAATCTGTCTGAGCGACTTGATCTTCTTGAGGGTGATCAGCACATATGCATTGGTGTACTCCACCTTCGCGCCCTTGGCTGTGTTCACAAAAAAGGGTGAGATGTAGCCCTTGTCGAATTGTAAGCCCTGCAGCACCTCCAGCTCATCCTTGAGCCGCTTGCCCTCCTTGACAGTGATGGTGCCGTTGCGGCCCACGCGGTCCGTTGCATCGGCAATGAGTTTTCCAATCTGTTTATCGCCATTAGCCGAAATTGTGGCTACTTGTTCAATCTCCTCACGTGTCTCGACCGCCCGCGACATTAGCTTCAGTTCCTGTTTGACGTGGTCGACAGCCAGCATAACGCCGCGTCGAATCTCCACTGGATTGGCACCCTTTGTTATGTACTGAAAGCCTTCTTTGGCAATGCAGCGAGCCAGCACCGTTGCTGTCGTGGTGCCGTCGCCGGCCGCCTGATTCGTACTGTCCGCCACGTCCTGAACCAGACGAGCGCCCAGCTGCATATGCTGATCTTTGAGAGAAATTGCGCGTGCCACTGAGACACCATCTTTCGTTATCTTAGGCGATGTCCAGGGCCGCTCCAATATAACACTGCGTCCCTTTGGACCCAGAGTGACGGCCACAGCATCCGTGAGAACATCCACACCGCGCAGCATCCTTGCACGCGCCTCTGCACCAAATGCTACATCTTTAGAGTAAGCACGGACAAAGGCCCGGCTAGAACGAATTGCCTCTTGAACATATGAACGAAACATTTCGAAAGGGCTACGTTTTTTATGTGTTTCCCCTGATTTTGTGAAAATTCTAATAAATTGTACAAGAGCTTTTGTGTAAATATATTTCTCTACGTATGCTAGCACCGACTCTCTCCTTGAACACGATAAACTAGTATGATATTGTGCCTGTCCCGATGTGGAGCACGGGACGTTTGAGGCTTAGCCTGCTTGCAACACAGCTTTGAAAAACTTGTTGAAATACTTGGGAAATTCGTATGTACGCACTTTTCCAATTAATTTCATTTCCGTTTCGTAGCAGGGGCTGCAGAACACATGTTCCAATCTTCAAAAGGTAGCGAAAACATAGAATCAATAATTAAGAAATGTCAAACATAAAACGAGAGGCCCGCACCATACGATAAGAAGGAGTACTGTGGAGAGGCAGGCCCCAAGGTTGTGCGGGTGTTGTGTTCTTTCCTATCGCAAGCATTTTTTTTTTGGTTTTCTTTTTTGTTTTTTTGGAGCTCGCGTGACAAATCATAATTGATTGTTCGCTTAATTGAATTGGAGGCTGATAAGTGCAGCCCCAACTCGCAACCCCAACCCCACTGCGCAGAAAGAGAGAAGGAGAGCGCGACGCATGCTACCCATAGATGAAAATATGACTCACGTGATCGCATAGCTAACGACAAATGGCTGACACAACTTCGAACACGCTAATAAATTGTTAATGGTTTTATCACAGCTTTGCAGTTTACAATATCACCTAATACGTACAGTCAACAACACCAGCGACGATCGTCATAAATCGACTAGAGCCGAAAAGAATCAGAAAAAACCCAAATATACCGTATACCGAAACATATGCTATAGACCCATAGATAAGCGGCGTTTGCCCCCGGGAGTCGCTCGGCGCATTAGTCACACAACAAATGTTGAGCAGAGAATGGGTCAGGAACTGGACTAGTCACTGGATCACTTTGAACAACTGTAAGTGCAGATGAGATCGATTTCGTAATTTTATTTTAATATTCTGAATAATGAAAACTAAAATTATAATAATTTTCTTAACTAGAAAACATGGAGTGTATATAAAAGTCGACTTTTAATAGTAAAGAGAAAAATATGAATATAATATATTTAAATTCATTTATGCATATCTTCCGATTCGCATTCATACATTTGATGAAGATACAGTCAATCGAGTCTGCGTGCGTTTGAACACAGCTAGTGACTTGCTAAGAGGCTAAGTATTTTCGAGGAGTGGAGATATCAAATTAGTCTTTTTAATATCACGAAATATATCTGCCGTATATATAGCAGTTCAATTAATTCCAAAAACTAGAGCTAAGATTCCAGTGTGTTTCTAATTTGTGTGAAGAGCTAACCTTTTGCGAACGATCAGTGTAACAGTTTGGGCTCCTGCATAAGGATCGCCTGTCAGCGACAGAATCAACTCATCAACGTTGACAGCGGCCTTAATGGGGACTTGTGGCTGGCTACCTAAATAGCTGGCAATGGTCAGTGCAATTGACGCGTGATTGGCATGCAGGCCTGTCATCCATCCATCCATCCGTTTCCACATGCAGTAGTAGCAGCAACAGCAGCAACAGCAGTAACATACAGCCCAAAAATAGTCATTTTTGCAGCATGCCCCAACCAGTTGGCAACTGGCGATTCTGTCGAAGAAGAGTGTTCTTCGATTTTATTAAGGTGTCAGCTACTTGGTATGGATCGTATGGCATCGCATGCTACGCCACGCTATGGCATGGTATCATATGGTCTGCCATGCTACGACACTCATTTAGCAATGCATATTTTAAATTAATATTATTAAGAGTTTGACCAAAAGCGAACGTCAAGACTTGGTAAACTGTTATATCTAATTGGCTTCAAACTGTTTGCCCGTTTGCTTGATTGCCCGAGCCGTCGGCTTTGCGAAGTCGCTGTTCCTCATCCCTCTCTCTTCCACACCTTTTGGGAGCTCAGTCGAACATCATTTCAAATCTGCGGCAGTCGAATTTCGATTTTGGTTTGTTTGGCAACGCGTCGAGTTAAGTAGCAAATTGCTGTGGCGACACCTGCCGCGGTCACCTCTCCTCGCCTACCAGCTGACCGAGCAAGTGCACTTACTCGCTTTCTCTCGCTCTCTCGCTCTGAAGCGCCGCCTTTTTGCTCTGCGCTGTCAGCCAATCAGCGCGTCGCAAGCTCAGCGCACGCAAAGAGAGTCTCATGGAGTACGATATGTGTGTGTGTGTGAGTGTGCATGTGATATGGTGTTGGTGTTGCTGTTGGTGTTGTGTCGTCGACAGGCAATTTACATGAAATCAAAATGAAACGTAAGTTTAATAAAGGCAGAAGGCTTCGGGCATATGCGGCGTGCAAATGCGCTGCGCAAATATATTTAGAGAGATATACAGAGAGAAAGTAAAAAAAAGACATATAGATTATACGTATCGCTAATCAGACAGACTTTAATTGAAAGTATTATGTAAATATCAAAGAAATGTAAAAAAGCGAAGAACAATTTGTATTATTCGAATTCCAGTAGGTTAAAAATCTCTTTTATCTATCCGTATATTGGTATACTCTCAACATACACCACATTTTAATACCGATAGAAATTATATATGTCTTTTAACATTAGATTTGTATGACATTTATACATGCATATATTATATAGTTTTACATAAAAGAATATAACATAATTATGTAGACAAATTAAAGATGATTTATTGATGCACTCGATAGAATAATATAATTATATTAATTTTAATTAAAAAATACTATGATAGATACAAAGAGCTCATCATTTAATGAATTGATACATGAATAAATGAATAAATAGAGATATACATGTATATATATATCAAATTTATTATCAACTATCAAAGAAATTTCTTTTAATGATACCAAAGCTCTATACAATCTTGTTTATTTCATTTCCTGTTTATATCTATGCAAATTAGAAGAGCATTTCAATATGCTCATCTGGCGCAGACAGTGTAGGGTAGGAGAAGAGTTCGGCTAGACTATGGTCGGGTAGTGTAGGGCAGTGCTTGGCAGAGCTGGAGGGCTGGCATCGAGCGTTCCACTCAAGTTTTGTTTACTTAAACTTTTACCATTTGGGGCCAGTGTAAAGTGGCCAAATGTCTGTGTATGTATGTGTGTGTGTGGGTGTTGGCCAACCGAAACGTAACTGCAAATTCACAGAAGTGTGGAGCTGTCTCTTAGCTAGAGGTCTCGGTCTATGGTATTTTATGTTGCCATTGATGTTTTTTTCTTTTTGATTGTTTTTTAAATTGTTTTTGCACGCGATTCGTGTTTGGCGGCTTTATAGCTGTAATTGCCATTACCATTTGTTGTTGTTGTTGGAGTTGTTGCAGCTACATAATTTAATTTGAATGCATATGCTATCCAAAATGGGTAATTGAATAAGTTTCGTTTTTCTCCAGTTTGTTAGAGTTTTGTATAAATATCTATATATATATATATATTTATACATATTTATTTATTTTTAGTTTTATTCCTTTTATATTAGTTTTAATACAAATTTGATTAGTGAGCGCGCGAAATATTTTGCCGCGTTGCATGTAGTAGCGTGGGCGTTTAATGGGCGTGCACCAGGCCAACACCTACAACTGGAGTAGCCCACGTGTTAGTAATTTATTTGCCAGCAGCTACTGTTTTTTGTTGTTGGCTGTCTGTTTTTCAATTGATATGCCAATTTTTGTAACCATATTAATATTGGCCAGCTGGGAAAATGTGAGCTCAACTGTTAAGTCTTTTTGTTTAAATAAATACTTTATGACCTGGATTCATAAGCCAAACTGATATAAGAAAGAGGTAGGAAAAGGTGTTTTTATGATGTTTGGCTGATTCGGCTCAAGTCTCGGTACGAGTTTCAGCTCAATGGAAATGAATTCCACATCTTCAATTCCAATTCCAATTCTTCATGTTAAAAAATCTTTTAGCAAAATAAAACGAAACCAAAATCATTTGACATTAAATCAATTACCTCGCTTTTTATAATAGAAATATATGTAGATATCTTCAATCTATCTTCAAATCTTAAAATATTTAATATACATAAACTTACTAAATTTTTCTAACATATTTATTTGTATTTATATTTGATTTTGAAATATTTTTTGGAACGTCTTATAATTAATTTGTTAATATGTTATGTCAAACAAGTATTGAGAGCCTGGACTTAAGCTCTTCTTTCTCTTTCACATACTGTTTATCAAAACTCAGTCAATTTCTGAGTAAAAGAGTTTTACTCTAAACTAAATTATTTGTTGCAGAATTTTTAGATGAAAACTTTAACATAAATACCTATTTGAAGAACTGCGTTTATTTCCATGCGTAATTACTTATGAATTAAATATAGTTTTTATTATACTTTTTAGGCAGCTAATCAAGAGAGATTATAGTACAGTGATAATCCGCAGCTTCTTTTGCGCTTTGCTTCGATAAATTGCTTTGGAGTTTTGCAAATTGATGCTTTCAAACAGCACCAGCCACGCCTGGGACAGCTTCGGTTAAAGATATCTCCAAAATTCTTATTGCAATCGCTGCGCTTGTTGTCGTATCTCTTCCCAAAATAATCGAAAGCAATTTGGCCGGAAATCGGATGCGAACACGTATCCAGTCCAGAAAATTGCGCCTAATGTGATTAAAATCTTTCATTTTGCGCATTAATTCAAAAAGTGATTCGATTTCTGAGGGTCAGACATTTGATTAGAGTGTATTATAGTTGCGATGCTCTGTCATTGAACTTGACGCGGAACGGAAATCAAATTGAATTTGGGCACATACAAAAATAACTTTGTTGTTGCAGTTTTTGCAGACAGCTTCTCGGGGCGTAATTAATACATGGCCTGTCGATTCGTACCAGGTTGAACCTTCACTTGGAGTCTATTAATCATTTGAGATATGCGAGCAGCGACTACTAATTAATTAATTTGATAAGCATTCGTTTATAAGTCTTTGCGAATTATGAGTTAATTTATGGCCAGAAACAGATTTTTGCAAAACAAGTTCGTTGCCTAAGTCTTTCGATTTACTTTGGCTTCAGGCTTGTTCGTCATTATAATCATAAGCTATGCCCATTTTGATGTGTTGCTTTCAATCCATCCCACTCCCCCCTCATTTAGCTAATCAG